ATATTTAGATTACACTTTGGAAATATTTGCAGAATTTTAAGTCTTAGTGCAATATAGTTTAATACATTACTACGTATGAATATATAACGGCCTTTTTTGACGTAAAACTGTAACAGATTTTGTCATTAAATACAGATATTGATGCGAGGAAAGCTAGAAATTCAATCATATTTTTAGTGTAATTGAATTCCCGTGAAATATTATTTATCAAATCAATTGATTAACTTATACAAATCTTAAAATATTAATAAAATCAAAATTTAAGCGGAGGAATACCCCCCTCTCGTGCGCGGAATACCTTTGGTTTGCTAGGGTTAACTTTATATTTACATTTAACACAAATTTAGTTTTAGTTCAGTTTACAAAATGGAACCTGCCATCTAATATGAAACCTCAAAGCGCATTTGCTGGGGGCTTCCACCAGCAAAAGCAGCATATGTAGCACCGTGTGTATAATACACTAATTGGCCTTGGGGAGGAAAATGACCGCGTGAGTTAGCCGGCACCACGTCAAAGCGTATTACACACGTGTTTATTTTTACGGTACATACACGATTCACAACCAGGATTTTTTCCCAGGACTTTCAATGGTCCGTCTGCCTGTGAGGGGATGCATGTATTCGCGCAAACTTGTTATTCAAAGTAAAAATGTAATGTTAATTTATTTCCTTGCTGCATAAATGTTATATAACATAATTATGTCGGGATTATTGAGCTATAAACAGAAATGGGACTCCATGGCACGCCGAAGTAAAAAACACGAAATAGCATACAGATTCTAAAATTTTGAAATATACTGATGTGTCTGTGAAACTGATCAGTTGATGACGCCTTCAATAAAGCCGACTATCCTCTCCAATGGTTGTTCTCAACTTTTAGAAGAAACACTCTCTGGTATTGCGTTTACCTTCCGACGAAGTAGGTATTAGTAATATGAACTATCACCTGCGACACGCCCCTGCTTACAATTACCGCTGATGTCATCAACGAACGAAGTAGGTTAACTGGTGGAAGTACCAGCCATATCCGTGTTATTTAGATTTCACAGTGCGTTCAAATGATTATGTTAAATTTCTTATCAACGAGAGGTTTTGTAGCAAAGAAATGTAATTAAACTCAAATGGCAGCGTAAACAAAAATTAGGACTAACATCTACTAAAAACCAATGACAAAATTTGTTGTGTTAATGTACGTGGAAAATACGACAATGCTACTTTTTCAATTATGTTGCCTTAAAAATGACTGTGCTTGCACATTTTTCTAATTATATTTGTTTCGTAATATCTTTAATAATACTAGTATTTTTTGAGCAAACACAAAGACGAATCCTTTTTATTCTGAAAACAAAATAGTGAGAGACAAATTATTTGCTAAGCGTTGGTCATCGTTTGTGCACTTTCATAGGTTACTACTAGCAGTGCAGCAATTACTAAGTGTGGACCCATCCGCAATAAATATCTGAACAGAAATAATTAAGTACGGATTAGAAGATTGATTGTACTTATTTCTAAATCGAAAGCAGCTAATAACCACATTTGTTGAGATCGCCTCAACGCTTGGGTCTTTTGAAATTCCTGAGAAGAAACGAAAATTCCCGTTATATTAAAGAAATGACATTCATCTGTGGAAGTTGAAACAGTCCTGTGGTCTGTTTCATAAAAACTAGCCACCAAAATATTGACATCAGGCTGGGACATTGTCAATATTGACACGTGACATATCCGCAGCTAACCTTTTAAGACGAAAACGTGCATGAAAATACCAAAAATGTATGACTATCGATTAGTGTTACCGAGAAATTCGAGGGCTCAATACTAGAGAGTAATAGTAAAAATGCTAATATTCAGAAGAATGTTAACAAAATAATTAAATCTGTTGACAATGAGCTTCAACTTCTGTGAAAGTATGAATATTTACAAGAGAAACTTCCATTATATTTGTAGGTAGGAAAACGATAAATGAATGAAAAATATTGTCTGAAGTGGAGATCACTGTTCAGGTTGTCGTTATCCTTTAGCGCACGGATACACTTACCTCAACACAGTGGTAGCCATCTTGGTAACTTGGTAGCACACGCTATCGACAGTAAATGACTCCAAACAAGCTATTTGCAAATATTGTGGGGAGGAATTTTGAATGTCTAGCACAATTCGTTTCACTATTTAATCATTCAAAATTATCACCATTAATGGTAAATATATACTTGTTTACAAATACGTAGATAGCAATGTTTACTTCCGCTCTAAAGTTATACTAAACCGGGAAATTAAATTACTAGTCTACTTAATAAACAGCTGTTTCTTTGCTACGTTCATTTTTTTTGTCCAAACAGTCTTGCTGAAGCATCACAGGCATTTTGTAAATTGTGTTTGGAGGATTATGATTATGGTCAATGGAAATAGAACTGAAGAAAAAGAAAAAAAAACTTTTTAACTCTTTAATAATTCAGTAACTGTTCAGAATAGAACAATGGTGACTCCTATGCACTAAAACATGCACAGTAAAGAAAATACATGGACTCCAATATTAAATCCATATTTACAATTACCAGCATTTAATGACTCATCACTTCCTTTAGGAATTTTTTGAAGCTTACAAGTCACATACTATAAATCCCTGAACTGTGTGAGACAGCATAAATACATGAATCAACATATGGGTGAAACAACTCCCACTCATCACAATTCACAACAAAAAAACTTACAAAGCAATGATAATACAATCGAAGTATTTTGCTTTAAATGTTTGGTCGTTAAAAATCTACATACAATCCATCCACACATGACAATGAATTATGAAGAATACTGACTGCCTATGTACATGAATTTGCATCTAACCCTCGGCATTCAGCCACTAAAACTGTACATGCTATAAGCACAGAGCTTTCACCAATATTAATAAGAATAATTAGTGCACACTTGTTGTTCGGAATACAGACATTTATTAATGTACACGTGTGGAGAACATATGTTGATATCTAAACACTCACTGGTGGTGGATAGTAAACACCGAGTTTCAATGAATTTGGAATTCATGTTCTAGGCCTACTTTTATTTTGCATTGTTTCACTGAGATCAAAATTTAAACTACGTTACATTTAAGGGTAAACAACATCCATAGGCCTAGGAACGACGTAACTACATCCACTGGGAATGTGTCACAATACAATACACTTTACTGTGCAGGGATAGATACGTGAACAGTTGACATTCGCTGATCCTTCCAATACAATTTGAAGTGAAAGGAAAGTAACATGAATCACACGATATGAAAGACTACCAAGTCTAGTAGGAAATATAGTCTTCACAGTTCCAGAATAAGCGTACAACATTCAATATTAATCATTGATGAAAGACAGAGAAATTAAGCGTAATCCAGTCGTTTTCATACAGGCATTTTGCACATAACACTGCAGGATGCACATTCCAAGTTCATTGCCTTGGGTACGCCTCCACTTACAGGTGATATTCGCACTGCACCGAGGCGCACATAAACACTTGCACCGATGTCAGAGCTCTTTCGATTATGAGCCTGAAAAAAACGATTTTTCTCACGTCGCACATCACTTCGCTCGGACTGCAACGCAACATAGTGTCCACTACGATGTTTTTGATCAGTTCAAATTTCCAGGTGGCACATTCGGAGAGGGCTGCGCGGTTCTTCGTCAGAATCGTAATAGTACCTTTGTTTCGGCGTACGCGCACATTTACTTAAACGCCTCACTGCTTCTTTAATAAGACTGCCGTTACTCAACAGTTCTTGTAGCATCTCATACGGATCGTCACTCGTCGTCGATTCAGAAGTTGCCTTCTTTGAATATCCCATACATGTATGGCTGCTACTACTTTTGCTCGCCGTCTTCGCACAGGCTTCACACGCCGAATCCCCCCAGCTTCGGCTAGGTATCCTGTAGGGCGACGCGCGAGATTTGTGATGAACGGAGAATGCTGGCCGTGATTTAAAACCAGAGAGGCGGAGATTCTCCTTGATCTCCGAGACGAGTTCCTCCACATCTCGAGCCATGAAGTCTTGTGTAGTGGTGTTTGTATTACTGGATGCTAGAACGCACATTTCTTCTTTACTGGGCATAACGATTTTCCCAAATTAAAGACTGCTTCCAATCAAGAAGCACGGCGCTGCAACTGACTGTGACGTACTATCTCGTCTGCTACTCTCAAGTGAATGGGTCAGGCACGCAGCTGAAGCACTGTTATTGTTTTCATTCGGCCGCGCTGCGCCTGTGTGCTTGCGCGAAAAATAGACCATGTAAACAATGAACGATTTCTTGAAGAAAAAGCATAACAATGGCAAAAAATCACATGTATATAATTGTTTGTTATATTTAAAAGGCATGAGAAGATCTATAACTTTTATGGTTCTTATAACGATTTATGTAAACAACAAATATGGAACAAAGGTTGCGGAAGGATATACTTCAAGGTTACTCCACCCGTAACGTCACCTTCCATGACGTCACGAACAGTGTAATACAATATGGCATGGCAGTCTACATTTTCACGCATGTACATGTGCCCTACAGTTGCAAATTTCTTGAAAAATCCATTAAAGATATTACCAAATGGAATATGGTCCAGTCCAAACACTTGAAACAACCTATAAACATTAAAGTTGAACAACCTCCCATAACGCTAGAACAAATTTACAATCATTTTAACACAAACAACTAACCACGGTCAGAATTTACTTTTAGTATCTAAATCTGATGAAAACGAACAACATGAAACAACGGCACAAAATATTTTCAATGACCACTTCACAAGGAGCATGTTTATTTTTGCAGTTTTCTGCACGTGCTATTTTATAGTTTACAATCCGTGCCAATTTTGTAAGTTTTGCGTATTACATTGCAAATTTATCAATTTCATTTATGATTAATATTAATATATCTTCATTGTACAGCGCTACATTTTCTCTCTGACATGTTAGGATCATAAAAGGTTCATCTGGAAAAACCATATATATTAGTTTTTCAAGGTGGGGGAGGACAATGTAAACAAACAATTTTCGTATTGCAATGACATCTGTTGGCATATTGAAGAACCAAATCACAAGCAGAAAACATGTGACGCCTGTGTCCGTCGTTGACGTGTGCTGTTGTGAGTGAACGAACTGAATTATACCGCAACATCACCAACAAACGTTCGAATGTTGTGAATACCGGTTCAACATTGTTGTGTAATTGAAGAAAGTCATGCTTCGACGCTAAATACGTTATTTTCTCGAAGCTAAATACGATCATTTGCTGCATATTGGTAATAAGACATTATGTCTGTGAACGATATCTTAGATACTTTGCGTCGTTTTGATGCGTACCCCAAAACCCAAGAAGATATCCGAATTAAAACTTTCGGAGGTGCTACTGGTATGTAACTGCTATTATTTCTTTAATTTTTTAGTTATATTGTGTTGCGTGAATACTTCAAAAAATATCATTTCATAATTGAATGTCGTGAGTTTTAAATTTCAAAAACAAATTTATTAATGTGGATGTCCTTACTTTCAGTTACAGTACTTAGTTGCATTATTATGGTGACGTTATTTGTATCGGAATTGCGAGATTATCTGTCTCCAAATATTTCTGAGGAACTTTTTGTTGACATATCCAGAGGACCGAATCTCAGAATTAATATTGATTTTGTAATACCTCGTATTTCATGTGAATGTAGGTAAAAAATCTCCAAATTTTTCATAATTTGAAAATTGAATCATTGTGACAGTCATATTGTCTGGAATTTGCAGTTTTGGTTTTGGATGCAATGGATAGTTCTGGAGAACAACATTTACAAATTGAACATAATATCTATAAACGTCGATTAGATTTACTGGGCAACCCAATTGAAGAGCCACAAAAAGAAGGTAAATTAGTATATTTTTTAAATTCTTTTTGTATCTGTAAGTGCAGCAGTTAAAATTAATTTGTCAATATTTCCAGATCTTGGTGCAGTCTCTGAAATAGTGCAGGTATGTTAAAATTTAATTCTTTATGGTTAATGGCTATTTTTTGTAGTGAATTGATTTTTTTCTCTCTCTCTCCAGAAAGATGTCAACAAAACCCAAGAATGTGGCAGTTGTTATGGAGCTGAAACAGAAGATTTGCCGTATGTCACTATTTGTGGTAATCAATTAGTGGGTAACTTGAGAGAGTTGCAATCTTCTTTGTCTTGCAAATGTACAAAATCATATAAATTCGTATTCTCAAATGAAGTTTCTTCAGCATTTAATTTTGTTTTATTTCCTGATGACATATATTTAAGAAAGTAAATTATGTCCAGTACAGCTTGAATTGTAGATGTTAAGTGTATGGTTAAGTAACAAAAAATAGATCTGCAGAACATCTACATCTTAAACATATATTGTTGATTAGAATTATTAGGCAATCTTAATAGAACAGGTAGGTATATTATGAGATTTTTTACAAGAAAAGGTAGGTATGATATGTGATATTTCAATAAGAAATTAATCTTAAATCATGTAATCTCAATTTTGGTATGTTATAAATTACAATTTTGGTGTGAAAATTTTAAAATTGAATAAGTGATATCTAGAGCTGACGTGTGCTTGCAACAGAGTTTGGACATGAATAAAATGATAAAATGTAAATGTTTTAGATTTTTGTTTGTTTTGAAAATATATAATGATAATAATTCATTACACATTACTATTAATTTCAAACTTGAATTTTTTTAGGATTGTTGTACATTTGATTTTGAATATGAATGTCACTGATTGCGAAAATCATTTCTGTTTTCCTTGAGAACATCAGGATCTTTAGCAAGTTAAAAATGAAATATTCTCAATTTTCTTTCCCATAAATTTGCATCACTCAGACATTATTCAAGTTAAAATTGATTTGCACCATTCGAAAGGAATATTTTAGCTCAATGTAAAAGCATTCAAGGGAATCTTGTTCATCTTCTTCGAATTTCTCTTATGTGTTTTGTTGAATATGTATACCAAATTCTGCAGTGATCTGCAATCATTGCTATATTCCATCATCACTGAAGTCTCAATTATCTTGGAAGAATCTCTCCACCTTTCTCACAGACTTGATTACCATATTTCCCATAAAAAAGTGGGCATCATCAGAAACCTAGAGGCTTCAAATTTTAATATCCTCAAGAAGTGCCCTATTTTTTCTTGTCAGCACATTGTATTTCTTAGATATAAAGAATTTACAACATATATTGAAAATGTCAGTGGTGCAGATTACAGAAAAAGTTCGAAGAATTACATAAGCAAGTATTTTCATGTTTTGTTTTCTGGGGATTTAGCAGAGGTGAATAACAAACTTGTTTTGGACAATTTCTTATACACATTATATTAATTCTTAACAATAACACTAATTAGTATGTCAACAATTATGCTGTTAACTAACAAAACATCACTTGCTACAATTTATTTACTTGTATTTTATTTTGATTTATTGCTATAATTTGCATGTAATGTATATATTGAGATATATTATTTGTGTATATTATACATACAGCTGCATTTCATAGATTATGTATTAGATTATATAATGACCTTAAAAAAGTTAATAATCTATCTATTTGTTGATGAAATAATTAAGGTAATTGTGCTGATTGCAAATTGGGTGCTAGGTGTCTCAATTGCTAGGCACAATTTTGTTTGTTTTCTTCGTGTCATGTTCATAAGTTTCAATATCTTCAATTATGCCAAATAGTTACATTACCTACACTGGTGTCATCCTAGTAGCTTTTTTTAAGCTCTTTGCCATTACCTATTACATAAGGAAAAATCCTTACATTGCCATTACTCACTGGAATAGTTAAACGGAATGGAACCAGTTTCAATAAATCACGATGATTCAAAGCAGTTTTTCATTAGACAACAGAACAGAAGTCTGGATTTATTCCACAATTTTCATGAATCTCTGAAGTTAACTGTAGGCATCAAAACACTTTGCATCATTAATATCTTGTGGAAACTACATACTGAATTACAAGTTCAAATTTGTCTGACGTAATTGGTCCATATAAATGTATGCAACACTAGAACATACCTTGTCATATTATTGGTAACAGTCGTGTAATAAATTGTAACTTCAATCCTACTGACATTTCAGCCATCTAAAATACTAAATCAAACAAAGCGTGAAAGATTCTAATATTGTAATGAAAGTAGTACATTTGCCATTGAATTAAATCTTTAAACTTTTTATAAAGATATAAAAATTACTTTCTTCAACAAGGATGACTTAATGTTGTGCTTCTGAGTCTTCTAGTATGTTAATATCTAGGGCCCACAACTGATTCTTCATATTCCTGTGGTTGTGGACCCCAACAAAATTGTCACAATTAAACTCAAATTTACTCGAAACTACCGCATGTAAACTGTACAAAGACTTAATAATCTAATTTTGAATAATAGATTACTTTAAGAAAGAAACCTCTAGCTTCAATATTCAAGGTGTAAGTTAGTTTCAAAACATGAAAAGGAGAAGATAATTTTTTGTATATTTAGAAATACCTAAGATTTTCATAAAAATCAGGCCTTAACCTTATTTATAAGCACCTTACTCTTTTTTGAATCAAAAATTTAAATTAAAAAATTGGGAATGTCTTAATCAGATATTTTTGGAAAAGTCTCAAATTCATTCAAAACTATTTATATTTTGAAATATATTGTATACAGCATTATTTATAGATTTAATTTTGAGAGTAGATTTCATAAAAAAATCCGTATCATGAAAACGTCATTGGTAATGGGAGTGGTCGAACATATTTGAACTTTTGGAAATTTTAAAATTTCAGTTGTTTAAATAAAGAACTGTTTTGTGCCATTTTTTTAAAGCATATTTTGCTCTATTATGCCAAAAAACATATACAGAAAATTTTGAAAATGCCCTAGGGACTTCATGTTAAGAAGCCTCCAAAAACTATAAGATCCATTTCAAATTCACGAACCCTGGAGTGAGGCTGGATTGATTAGGGAATATTCAATTTGAGGAAAATCTTGTATATGGTATGGGCTACAGTGTTGTTCACAAACAGTTTTTTTCCCCTGGAAAGGAGTCCTGAGAGTTGCTTGCTCCTCTAAAATTGTTTCCCAACCAGCAGTGCTATTGGTGGCTGGAGTCATAACCTTGCAGCTCCTGCACAGGAAACTGCATCTACCAGATGAATCATCAGCTTAAAGCTGTCGGCCTCAAACATCTCACTTGCCAGAACTGTTTGGAGAATGAAAGCCAAGAAAGATGGACAGAGGGGCTCAGCCAAAAAAATGTTAACTTGGGCTGGATGCTAGCGCGATCCTACCATATGGCACAGTTCTGTGCTGAACATGGATATTTTCATGAATATCTTCTCCAGATGGGGAAAGTAGATGGTGAGGAATGTGTGTTCGGCCACCATAAGTACACACTTTCTTCATCTGCATGGTGTGAGCAAGTGACAGAAACTTGTTTGAACAACTTCCTGTGTCAATAACTCCTGACACAATCATTGTCTTGAAAACAATTGGTACAAGATAACCACCTATTCAAAAAGGTACTCCACACCGAGAAGGCAGAGGAAAACCCATACCTTAGCTAATGACAAAGGGAAAACTAGAAGTAATACGAGAGAAAAGTTCTCTGAGAACAAAGGACAAGACACCATTCCGAAGCAATGCAAAAGTGGCATGAACCCTTTCCCTTTTACTTAAAACCAATGCTAAGATATAGATAGATGGATAGATCTCTTCGAATTATAATTGATATAGTGAATTTGTTATGAACATCATTAACAAGTATTAAACATTCAAATGTTGCTTAAATTGTCAATTTTTTGTTTTTAAAGGTGCTGCAGTACTTGTGAAGATGTGAAGGATGCTTATCGTCGGAAGAAGTGGGCATTTCCTGATTTACAGTCCATTAAACAGTGTCAATCAGAAAATTATTCTGAAAAGTTGAAATCGGCTTTCACTGAAGCATGTCAAATCTATGGTTACATGGAAGTGAATAGGGTGTGTTCAATATGTGATAATGATAATATTGGCAAGAAATTGTGATTTATGTAAACTTACTGATGACTTATGGAGCTTTTTTTTAATTCTTGATTTACCATTGCAGTCTTTGTATGTTCATTGATATTTCTGATGTTTTTTAGGTTGGTGGAAGCTTCCATATAGCTCCTGGTAAGAGCTTTTCCATTAATCATGTACATGGTAAGTTATAAAAATGCTTTAGAGATTTGTTGAAATTTAAATAACGGTTATTATACAAGCAATTAGAATTCTAAATTATATTTCTTATGTTTTAGTGCATGATGTTCAACCTTTTTCTTCATCATCTTTTAATACTTCACACCGAATCCGTCATTTATCTTTTGGAAAAAATATTCCTGGAAAAACGAATCCAATTGATGGGACTGAAGTGATTGCACACGAAGGTATGAATCACCAATCTGACTCTTCTAGATTTAAAAGCTTATTTAAAATAGAAGGAAATTGAGGAAACATCTTCATTTCAAAATTTGATCTTCGTGTCAATAGCTTTTCCTTTCTTTTTTTGTGAGAAAATTAAATTAATTATATGAAAAGTAGCTTAATTGGAAATTCATTGGAGTCACCTCAACAATATGATCTTGAAATTTTGGTCTCCATTTGTAAGGTTCATGTGACCTGTGATTCTGCACACATGAGGATTGTCTATAAATGCTGTTCCAAAGATGGTGTAGGTGTACAGGGATTTTGTACCTGAAAATTGTGATATATGTAAAAGAATATTTCTGTGTATCATGCATAACACTATCAGATTAGACATTTTTGAGCTAAAACTTGGTAAATACATCAGGGGTAAGATCTGGTTGTGCTGTTCTGGAGATCATTAAGATATTTCCATTTTTAAGAGTATGGTACATTGAGCACATGACATTTTCAAAATTTTCTGCAAAATGGCTGACAATTTTTGAATTGAAGAAAGTACATTTCAAAACATGGCATAGTTCTACTTTTCATTAAAATCTTTAACATTTTGAAAATTGCAAAAATCTTTTTTTTTTTTAATTTAAAACCCTGTGTTTTCATTTTCTTCTTCTATCAGCTCTCATAGTTTTGCCTTGGCTTCTTTTAATGTAACAACCCCTTTTCTTTTCTTTTCTTTTTT